GTGTAAATTAGTCTCACATGGAATGGGACGTGAGCAAATTAAGAATTTTTAAGAAGATAGACTCATACCAATTACCTTAAAGTTTTGGGGTTACATTGTGGTATCCTATGAGACTCCTTACTTAAAAGCTCTACCTCCAACAATAATATTAGAGTTGGATCTAATATGTGTCACACACATCATTGATACTATTATTATTATTTTTTAAATACAGGTGTCAAAAATAAATAATCGACAAAAACTTTGAATAACATGTGCCACACGAATAATGGCCAAAAAATTTTAAAATTCATCAATGGCTAGAGTGAAGACATGTGGCGACGTGTAAGAGTATCCGCAAGTTTAAACCTGATTCCTGTGTTGTCATTGTTATAGCTGACTTGTATGTTAGCATTGTTAGGCCCAACACATATTTGATTGGTCCTAGTAACATTTCTCCTGAACTGTTGGGCTGCCCTGCCACTCACCTATCTTCCTTACCTTCATCTTTGTTTTTCTTATTCAGTTTCATAAACAATTGCCAGAATAAAAAAAAAAACTAAAGATCTAAGAATGTTTGATTTCTCTTTTAAATAAAGTTTTTTGTTTTTTTTTTCTAAATATAGTATAAATTTATACTATATTTAAAAAAAATAAAAAATGTAGTGCAAGGATCAACCGAGCATGATCGAACACTTGAACACTTTCAAGTTTATACTGTAGAAAGATCATCTTCAAATACTCAACTGATTTATATTCAGAACCAGATTGAGACATTTATCAAAAGGCTAATCAAAAGTGGCAAAGATGGGTCAAGTGTATTACTAACATTTCTCAGGAGCATAGGGCATAACATCAGTTCAAAATTTATAAATGTTAAATAAGGGATCTTAGTCATGTTCCAGTTCAGTACTTCCCGAGATTCACACGAGAAAAAACTGGATTTCAGAGTGGGGGGAGAAAAACAGAAGCCTCAAATTTCTCATCACAGAACGAATGATGAAAAATTGAACTCAGTCACTCAACTACATTCAACACCTTACTTAAAAGTTTTACCTCCAACAATGGTATTAGAGTTGGATCTAATGTGTGTCACACACATCACTGATACTATTATTATTATTTTTTTAAAATACAAGTGTCAAAAATAAATAATCGACAAAAATCTTGAATAACCTTGATATAGACTATGGATACTCTTGATGTGTACTGTGAAGGGAGCCAATATGAAATAGATAGATTCACACTTGAGAGGAAAATTTGGAGTCTAGTGTAAATTAGTCTCACATGGAATGGGACGTGAGCAAATTAAGAATTTTTAAGAAGATAGACTCATACCAATTACCTTAAAGTTTTGGGGTTACATTGTGGTATCCTATTAGACTCCTTACTTAAAAGCTCTACCTCCAACAATAGTATTAGAGTTGGATCTAATATGTGTCACACACATCATTGATACTATTATTATTATTTTTTAAATACAGGTGTCAAAAATAAATAATCGACAAAAACTTTGAATAACATGTGCCACACGAATAATGGCCAAAAAATTTTAAAATTCATCAATGGCTAGAGTGAAGACATGTGGCGACGTGTAAGAGTATCCGCAAGTTTAAACCTGATTCCTGTGTTGTCATTGTTATAGCTGACTTGTATGTTAGCATTGTTAGGCCCAACACATATTTGATTGATCCTAGTAACATTTCTCCTGAACTGTTGGGCTGCCCTGCCACTCACCTCTCTTCCTTACCTTCATCTTTGTTTTTCTTATTCAGTTTCATAAACAATTGCCAGAATAAAAAAAAAACTAAAGATCTAAGAATGTTTGATTTCTCTTTTAAATAAAGTTTTCTGTTTTTTGTTTCTAAATATAGTATAAATTTATACTATATTTAAAAAAAAAAAAAAAAAAAAACTCTTTAAAAGAGAAATCAAACATACCCAAGTGAGAGTTTTGCTAAAAAATTATCCAATTTACAAAAATGATTTCACTATTTTGATATTATGTAAGGTAGGAAGAAATTATTGTGTTAAAAATAATTTTTAATTTATTTTTATTCATTTTTTAATGTCTAGCAAAAAAAAATTTTGAGAGAGCCACAACATTTTCATTTGAAACTGGTATGAGTGAAAGATGTTGGATACAGTATTAGAGGTTAGTAAAAAATTAATTTTAAAATATATATGTTTTATATTTTATTGTATTTAGAAAATAGAAAGAAAAGTTTCAGAATTTATCTCTAATTTAAAATTATATTTTTTGTAGGTTAAATTTATTGTTTTTAAATTAAATCTGATGAAAAGAAATTTTATTATTGTAATTGTAATATTATAAATATAATAAAATTATAAACAAAATTAAATGTGAATAAATAGAGAAATGGAAAATAATAATATTATAAATATATTAAATAGAATTAGAATTTGATTGTTAGTAGATTAATAAAATAATATGTGAGTAATTAAAATTAAATTAAAGAAATGAGATGTAGTAGAAATTATTATTATTATTGAAAAATAGTGAATTGGTTAATTTTGAAAAAATATTAAAGAAAACATATTATGTTATATAATTAAGAATTAGGTTTTTTTTAAGGTAAAATGTTTGTTATAAATTAATAAAATATACATTAAATTTAAGATAATAATAAAGAGGTCATATTATTAATATCAGAAAATTGTCATAATGTTGTTAATAGGTTAATTTGGAAAAAATTGAAATGCAGAGACATTGAAAAGAATAGTAAATAATTTAGAGTTGTGAAATTTGAAAACAAAATTAATCATCATAGTATTTATAAATTAGATTAATTAAAATAATAAATGAATAATGAAAAAATTAATTGAGTGTAAACTACAATAATTGTAATATTATTAATATCTTTCAACATTTAGAATATTCATAGTTGAATCAAAATCACTCTAAATAAATATAATAATAAATGTTAAATGAAATATGTGATTCTTCTTCGTAGTTATCTTTTTCATAATCATCTTCTTCAGCGGTAAATCTTACATTAACAATTATATTAATATATATATATATATATATATATATATATTAATAAATAAAATACTTTTTAATTAAGTTAAATGTATATTACTTCTTTTTGTTATATATTCTTCTTCATATTGTCACTCAAATTAATGTTAACTCTTCTTCATGGTGTATAATACTTGAGAGTGATAAATTTAATGTTAACGTTAGTACAATAATATAAGAAGTTTTATCAACAGTAACATCAACATATAATTCAATTAATTACATTTCTTTAATGTCATTATTTTTTTTTTAATAAACAAGGCTTAAAGCCCAAACAAAAACCTAATACAATAGTTAGCTTTTATAACTAAACTTAATAAAATGAATACATTTAATCAAATTTTTAATTTCACTAATATGCACTTATCATATAATCAATATTTTTATTATCACATATATTTAAAATTATATAATTTTCACTCTTTGCATCAACTAAAATCATAAAATCAATTTAAAAATTACCTTACTACTAACAATTTCAATTTTATATGTATATCTCTATCTTAATCATCTTTTTGTTCCGTTCAAAAATTATACTCTCATTTCTTTCATATATTCTACATAACAAAATTATGATTATAATATGATTAATGATAAAAAATATATATATTATTTATTTAAACAAACACTAATAAATAGAGAATATTAGACAAATTAATTTAAAACAAATGTATATTCATATATTAAATATTACACCTATAATTAAATAAATTTTATTCATAACACAAGAAATTTTATTTATTTCAACAACTAATAATTACATAAAATAAAAATTACAAATAATAATATTTTATTTATATTATAATAATATTATAATTACAAATAATCTTTTTCTTTCAAAAGATTATTATTTCATTTTATTAATTAAAATTAATTTAAAATATAAAACTTCTAACCTTAAATTGCTAGAACTGAAAAATTGCTTCACTCACCTAAAATTTTGCTGTTATATTTAGTTTTAATATTGAATAAAAACTGTAAAGTAGGAGGAGGAATCGGATGACACTATTGACCCTGTCGTGTCAGCATCTATGTATCGCTATTTACCAAACCGACACTCATAATAATAAAAAAAAATTGAACACGTCATCAGTGTATGACGACGACACTGGCGAAAACGTGTCATTCCAACCCCAGGAGAATTACTTTTCCTTAAACCCTACATTGAGAAATTGTTTCTCAATTCACCCAATAAGGCAAAAAAAATCCAATTTTTGAAGTTTTGAGCATGTATCAACCTATACCAATGCATATGAATTGTGGACGAAACTTGAATCATGATTCAAAAGAAGACGCCTAAGAGCAAAACCCACCTTAAGAGATGACTGATCAAGATGTAGTGCAAAGATCAACCGAGCATGATCGAACACTTGAACACTTTCAAGTTTATACTGTAGAAAGATCATCTTCAAATACTCAACTGATTTATATTCAGAACCAGATTGAGACATTTATCAAAAGGCTAATCAAAAGGGGCAAAGATGGGTCAAGTGTATTACTAAACATTTCTCAGGAGCATAGGGCATAACATCAGTTCAAAATTTATAAATGCTAAATAAGGGATCTTAGTCATGTTCCAGTTCAGTACTTCCCGAGATTCACACGAGAAAAAACTGGATTTCAGAGTGGGGGGAGAAAAACAGAAGCCTCAAATTTCTCATCACAGAACGAATGATGAAAAATTGAACTCAGTCACTCAACTACATTCAACACCCCACCCCCCCTCCCCCCAAAGCAAGACAGAAACTGGAAACTATGGACAGAAAATTAAAAACTCAATCAAGAGGAAAAAATTTATATATGGAAAAAGAAGAAAAGCAAGGAAATCCATCTACAACTGGGAAAATTTTACCTCTATCACACACCAAACAAAGTCTTTATCCTATACTCATGGTTAAAATAAAATCTGGAAACTATGGGCATAAAATTGATGTTTGAGCCAAGAATACGCAATTTCATAATCTGAGTAGTACGATCTCTTGTTAATAAAACAATACTAGGTACCATGACCCAATATTTGGTGACCAACAACTGAATATCAAATACTAAAGAGAAGTAATAGAGTGTGGATCATAACAAAATATAACATTAATATTATCAATTCAAGGTGGTTCCAAAAACAAAAATTACAGAACTTAGTTTAATATAATGTGTAGACAAAATAACAAACTCCAACTGACTGTTGCAAAACTAATATAATCCAAAGTCTAATATTCCTGAGTAACAAACAGCCTATGCAGTAGCACTGGTAGGCAAAAAGGCTCTTCCAGGTTGGCGATTAGCCAATGGTCCATGGCAACCAAGAAGCTGCAAAACCGGAAAAGGAACTTTAAAGTTAGAAGCCCAATTACATACACTAAAATTAACTAAAGGAAAAGGTACCAATTGACTGCACAAGGAATATTTCATTCAGAAACATGGCTCAATGCATCCACCAATATCCAAGTTAACAAGTAATATACATCCTCAGTGTGACAAAATCAATGTGCCATACAGTTTCAACCACAGTATCTCGCATTCTCAAGAAACTTCACATTACCTTTGCATTCACACCATCGGGCATGATCCTGTTCTCTGACTTGAACTTCAGGTAATCAGTACGGCTAAACTTGGTGAATCCCCTAAGCAACCATTTAAAACAACAATACCAAGAGTTAAAACCATACACCGAAGAAACAGGCCCCAGAAATCACATAGTACAAGTCTATATTAGACATAAGTTATCATTCATAATTCAGATTGAGTTATTGTTGAAAAGTTAGCAGTCATGTCGAAATGGGTAGCAGCTGCAAATACATTACATACCACTTCCTGCTAACTATAATCTTTTGACGTCCAGGGAACTTAAACTTAGCACGACGGAGGGCCTCTTGTGCATGATGGCTGTTGCTGTCCTTGCAGCGGACGGAAAGGAGGACCTGCCCAATAGCAACTCTAGCACAAGTACCCTGTGGCTTTCCAAATGCACCTCTCATCCCAGTCTGAAGCCTATCAGCTCCAGCACACGAAAGCATCTTGTTGATCCTAAGAACATGGAATGGATGCACCCTGACTCTCAAATGGAAAGCATCCTTTCCAGCAAATTTTGCCATATATTTGTTGCAAGCAATTCTGGCAGCTTCCAGAGCCTCACTGGAAACATTTTCCTTCTCCCAACTAACCAGATGGACACAGAAAGGAAACTCATCAACACCTTTCTTCTTCATACCAACATCATAAATCCTGATTTTGGAATCAGGAACACCACGGCAGAACCGCGACTTGGGGTATGGCTTGTTCTTAATTTGTCTATAACACCTTGCAGGTCCTAAATCAAAACACCATAACAATTCATGATTACCATATCCATGTCTATAAATTACAAGAAACATACACAACAGCAAACACGAGAAGAGTAATTTGAAACAAAATAACAAACCAGTGTTCTAATCAAATCATCCATTTCAAACTTATTTCAAACAAAACTTAAATTTACATTCATTTCCTGACAAAATTAAAAATAATAAAAAAGAAAAATCCAAATTCTGAAGCAACAAGCTAACTAAGATAGATTAAATTGAAAGAAGCATGAATTCTTCAATAAAGCAAACGATAAATCAAAATTTAACGGAAGTAAAAGGTGCTAAGTGTGCATACTTCTCCCCATGGCCACGTCTTAATTGAGGCAGAGACTAACCCTAGAAGACACAGGGTAAATAGGGTTTTATCATTATTTTATAGTACAGACAAGATGGCATGGGCTTAGTCTTTTTTAAAAGCCCAAAAGGAGGCCCAAAGCCTGCTACCATTTCTTATTTGTAGGTAGCTTTTTGGCACAAACTCTTGTTTTGGAATTTAATTTTTGCACTAATTTTTTGTTTCAAACAAATTATTATTAAAAAATAAAAATAAAAACTAATACCTTCTTAAGTTTTTGGGAACAGGCCTACCACCTTGCTTGAATTTCTCTAATAAGGATCAATAGACCAAACCAATAAGGACTTGTTTGAATAGATTATTTAATTTGTCTATTTAAAAAGAAATTTAATTAATTAACAAATTGTTGCATAAAAATTTATTTATCAAATTTTCCTAATATTTTTTTTATAAATTTATTAAAAATTTTGAAATTTCATAAAACATTATAATTACTTTCATAACCTAATTAAATTCTTTCAAGTAATCTCAAAACAATAATTGTGGATGGGATGCATTCCTTGGGACTAAATTCCTCACCAAACAGAAGGAAAGGGAGATTGAAAATAAATTACCTATTCCATAACCTATATTTTTGTGGAATGCTTAGATTATATGTTGATTTCTTATTGTCATGAAATACTACTTTTTTTATTATTGTTTTAATATTAAGTTGTTTATTTTAATTATTGAATTAATAATTTTGATATTTAATATAATTTTTTATCTTTTTAATAAAAACTTAAACTATAAAAATATTATAAAATTTATTTATACAAATAAATAATATTTAATTAAATTAAAAAATTGAAAAGAAAAAAAATATGTCACAGCTAATAAAAAAATGTCACAACATTCATTATCTTAAAAAACAATAAGTTGTTAATATTTTGGATTTAACGATGATATTAACATTTTTTTATAATAAAATATTTTAAAAATTAAATTTGAAATTAAAAAATCATTATCTTAATTTGAAGATGATAAATAATTTTAAATAAATTAAAGTATAAAAATTACAATTATTTAAAAGTATATAATCGATAATCTTAAATTTTAGCCTACTAAGTTATTATATTTTTATCTATTATTTTATATTTACTAGTTAATTTAATAACTAATTTTATCAAATACTTTCAATTCAAGAAATTAACTTTTTATCTATTAACTAACTTATTTGTTAATTTCGTCAAATACACCTAAAGATTCAAATACATCAAAACTTAAAGTTTGTAACTCACTAAACACTTATACATGTGCAAATCACATAGATATTGTAATTTTCATAAGATCTTTTTTTTTTTCTCATGTTTTTTTTATAAGATCTTTAAACATTACATTATTTACTATTATCATATATTTAACATTTACTAACTTTACTTTTCAAAAAACACTCTCCTAATTTTACCATTAGAGATTCCATCCCTAATATTAACTAATTTTTATGAATTATAAATTATATTATCAATTTACTTCAAATTTAAGTATTAAAGTATTTATTGAATATTTTATTAATAAATAAAAATTTGATAAAGAAAAAATAATTATATTACAAATGAGTTATAAAATCAAGTTTAAACTTTAAAATTTTTAATTAAGACATGCTTGAACAACACAAGACAAGCATAAACTAAACTTATTTGGATAGATATATTATTAAAAATGAGTTCAAGGCGATACACTGAAAATTAAAGTGTTGATATTAATTAATTAACTATGTTTAAGATAGTCTAAAAAATTAATTTTAATGATTTCAATTAAGCTACTAAGCTAAATAAAACTTTATTTGAGATTATGTTAATTGGAATTTTTATTGCTTAATTAAATTTATTTAAGTGATTAATATATCATGATGGTTGACGAAAGAATAAAAAGTAATATACGTAACACATAAACTTTAAGAGAATTAAATAAATAATAGAGCTTCAGTTGGGCATGTATAAATTTTTTTGAAAATAAATGTTTATGAATAGGATTTCTAAGCAAAATACTAATTTAGATAAAAGCCTAAGTATAGGTTAATTACTCTATGCTAGAACATGAGTCCTAAAGCACACTGCATGCATTAAGTTTTTTGTTTTGGTTAAGCATGCATTAAGTTTAAGTTCCTAAAATGTTATGTAAAAAAAGTAGGTATATATATTTTTTCCATTACTTAATTAACTTATCTATAATTTTAGATAAGTCAAACTTACATCACTCATTTTATGGTTTAAAATTTAATTTTTCATGTCTAGGTCATTTTTTTTTCTAATATAATTAATTGTTAGACAAACAACTAAAAGCATTAAAATCAAAATGAATAACTAAATTCAAATCTATTAAACATAAGCATAATAAAATATCAAAATTTACATAACCCAATATCCATGTGGAGATCCCATGATATCCCAAAATGAAAATTTAGCTATCCATAGTAATAATAATTATCACCAAATAAGTTGTCATAGTAAAAAGAAAAAAAGAAAACAAAAAACCTATAGTTTTGTTTTTTCAATAGGTATAAATATTTTTTCTAAAATCTTCCTTCTTTACTTATAACATGATTTTTTTACTTGTCTTCACGAATAATTATTCATATTTTTTTTCATTAAATTTTTATTTTTTTATACGTTTGAATTTAACTTTAAAATTTATTTTTGTAATATCTTTACATTATTATAGACCTTTTGTAGCAACCGGGCTGTCGCAATAATATGACAAAAAACGTTTTCAAAAAAATACAAAAGGAGTCGGCACTAAAATTTATTTTAAGAAAACCTTGAAATTTTTTTTTAAAATAATATGATCTTTGAAACTAAAAATGAGTTCAGAGTCATTTACGTGTAGGAAAGATATTAGCACTCCACAACGTCCGTTTAAAAACGATTACCTAAAATTAATTGTGTAAATTCATTTTAATTTTAAAAATATTTATTTAATCCCTAAACATTAATTATTTTTATTTTAGAAGAAGAAAAATTATTTATTGAAATGTTAACTTAATATCTTAAAAAAATAAAAAATTATTTTAAAAATTATTTTGACTTGACTGGTTTGGTTCCCGCTCCTACGTATCCCCAGGTGCAATGGGAAACTCAAAGTCACGTAGTTCTATCTAAAAATTATAAAATTGGTTGATTAAAATTAGGTTTAGTAAAAGAAAATTTATTTTAAAATTAAAATTATTTTCATAAAATTATAATATTTAGGATACAAGATAACGCGGTTATATATGTATTCCACGAGAAACAATACAGTGAAGGAAGATTACACAACTATATTGTAAATCGTTAAAATATTTTATTCGTGAACAAAGTATTTGAATTTTACTTTTGATGTGAAAGAAAATTTAAGATAGCGTAAGCTATACATAAATTTTCTTATAATTTGTTGGAAAATCGAAGACAATGTAAATCACACATCGATATTTGTATAAATAAGTAAAGAAATGTTTAGTTATTTGATTCATCAAAATTTGAAATATTAAGAAGAAAAAAATAAAAAAAATAATACGAAATTAATTCCATTTGATGAAAAGAATAAATATATTTAAATTGATTAAAGAAAATACCTATTTAATAAAAGATTAAAATTTTATTTGATAAATTTATATTACATGAGACCTAAGGTAACATTGGTATACAAAAGCTTTTATAATTTAATGTGTTTAAAGATAAAAAAATATTACACAATAACACTATAAATCGTTGCATTAATATGATGAAAATGTTTTAATTAATTAATGAGTATATAAATAAGATACTTTTTATAATAAAGAAATATTTAAGGGAGTATGTTTTTTTAATTAATCATAAAAATAAGAATTACACAAAGTATACTTTAAATTAGTGACATATATATGATTAATCGGAAATGAATACAATTAAGTTTTACCAATTTGATATTATTTGATGATTTAAATGAGAGAAAATTCTAGATGATATATTTTGAATAAATAAACAAAAAGAATCATACAATTGATGAATTTTAAAAATTAGATTTAATTTTATTATATTTATATATAAAACCTAAGATAACATTAGTACACATAAGTTTTATCAATTTATATTACATAACGATAGAAAATTATATATTAATATTATAAATTGATGTAAATATTACATTATTTATTTGTTTACAAAATAATTTGTGAGTTATAAAAAAGTCAAAATATGAATATGAAATCCAATTATATCAATCATCTTAAAATTAATACAATAAAATAAAGAATGATAATGCTATAAATAAATAAATTATAAATACATAAATACAATAAATATAAACTATATATATATATATGCACACATATATTTACATGAATTATTTATGTATTTTTAAATTTAGTTGGCTGAACATGATATCCTCAAAATAATAAAAATAATAATAATAAAAATGAAAAAGTGAAAAATAAATAAAAAGAAATTCAAGCATAATCTAACATTAATCTTGGTCCAAACTCCTTTTTTTCCGGAAGTGAACTGTATTTTTATAACATAAAATAAATAAATAAAGATATAAAGAAAAAAAAAGAAAATAAAAAAATAAAAAAATGAAATGACTGGACCTTGCCCTTAGACTGTCGCCTTTCACCGCCTATGTTCTTCTACATCTCATATGCGTAATATCAATGAACTAACAAAGAATTGAAAAGACTACATTCTACACTTCTCGATTTCCATTTTTATATCTATTTCCTTTCCAATGCATTAATAAGAAAATAAAATAATATATAATGCAGCTTTTTGAATGGATTTGATTGCATCTCTCTTCAGCGTGCATAAGTCACGTTTTTATCAAATTCTCTTTTTCATTTTTTATAATAAAATAATAAGAACATATTAACAAAACAACCAAATCCTATTAAATGACTCATAACTCTGTATTTTTTTTTATCTTGCATCTCTCATTTCACGACATGATTATGTGAATATGAGTTTAGTAGTAAAGATAATATCTTGGTAGTATTCAAAGTTGAAGAACGTTTAGATTTGAGCAGCATCGGAGGATATAAAGTGGTGACTATTGTTACTTTCTTCTCTTTTGATTTTCAATTTTTCTTTACTATTTTGTTTGTTCTCTTATTTGTTGTGCTATTCTCCTTCTTTTATAAAATATTTATTTATTTATTTACTTTTTTTCTCTCTTTCTCCCGTATTCCTCTTCAAAATGTTACTCTCTTTTTTTAAAATAAACTTGTTGCTACTTCTTGAAATATTTTTTTTCTTTCTTTGAAACCTTGTTTCTTCTCCAAAAACTGTTTGCTTTCTTTTCAAAAACCTTAAACCCTTCTCTGAAAATTTTTTTTTGCTTTATTTTTTCTCCCCCTTCGACCCTCTCTTACTTGAGATTTTATATTGGGTATATTTACAATTTTTTGCAAAACGCTAAAGGTCCAAAGTCTTTCCTTTTTGATGCCGGGTTTTTGATTTTGGGGTATAAACCTGTGTAATGCAGGCTGCTGTTTCCGAGAAGCAAAATCAAATTTTTCAAAAATTTTCTATTTTACTGTAAAACAATTTTATTTAATTAATTTTTTTAAAAAAAGTTGGAAGTAATATTTGGAAGGCAAAAATTGATATTCACACCTTTTAATATACTCACAAGAGAACTGAAAATACATGTTTTTGTTATATATTTAGTATAACATGGATTCAAAATTATGTTTGATATAAAATTTAAATTCTTTATACAATTAATATAAATCATATTTTTTAAATATGACTTATTTATATATTTTTAAAACTAAATTAGTAATTCGTATATGATATTATATATATATATATATATATATATAATTATTTTTTACTATTGAATAGGGTTAAAAGTCTAAAATAATAAAAGAACAATCACATTATTTTCTTAAGAGTCAAAAAATTAATAGAATTAATACATAAATAAAGATACAAGAAAAGAAAAGAGAAGCATCTTCAATTATAAAAAGAGGAATAAGCTCCTCTAAGTCCTTTTTATCTACCCTTTTAGCACAAATACATTGGTTTATTTCTCTACCAATGGGGCCTACCTTAATAAATTTTACAGATTTCAAAATATTTCTAATACCTTTAATCAAAGGATACAACGAATGATTATAAGATTTAACATTCAAAATTAAAAAAAAAAAAGGGACAAATTTAGAGTCACTTTCAATTCAAATCGCTTCAAAATCTTTAAATAACATATATTCTTTTATTATTTTTTTTACTAATTAACAAGGCTAAAAAGCTCAAACAACAGGCACAAAAATCAGGGATCTATTCCAAAGATCCAAATGCCTATAGAGTCAAGGTAAAAAAAGGAGAATAGGAGAGAAGGAACTGATCAATACAAGAGGAAGATAATGATTCAACTAAGCCTAATTTAGTTAAATAGTCAGCACATTGGTGACTTCTCTGCACACATAATTAAATCTAACAAACTGAATGAGTTTGACAACATTCCTAATTCTAGCAATCAAATCATATAAAAGGTGAGCACAACTTTGAACATTAAGGATAAGAGACAAAGTTTCCTCTAAATTATTCTTTATATAAATCATGTGGATCTCTGTTTAGGCAACAAGATCTAGACCCAATATGATACTCCAAAGTTCAACAACACATGAGTACAAGAGGTAATTCGTCTGTAGAATCTAGAAGATAGACAGAAAAATTATTAAAAATAAAGTTATTTCTTTCCTTCCATAGGTGCCAAACAACAATTCCAAATGAACTCTTCCAATTGGAGAATTTGCTAAAATTCTAGTTTAATAGATCAAGCATTAACCAATCAGAAATACCTCTATCAAAGAAGGGAACTCGCTGTTTAGAAAAAATAAAGGACTCTCATACCTCCTTAGCAAGGCACAATCTTAAATAACATGAATGATAGATTCATCCTCATAATTATATCTAGCACATATATAGTACATGATATATATAACATATATTTTTATTACATTATTTTAAATATATTAATTTTTTGCACTGTATTTTAATTATTTATTATCATATTAATAAGAACACTTGATTTCTGGATTAACTAATTTAAGAATCACATCATAGTGTAAAAATTTTAATTATTACAATCATATATTAATTTTACTGTGAAAATTATAAACTCTTCACACTTAAATTATTTTTGTACTTATTATTGTTACACATACAAATTAAAAGTTCTTTAAAAAAATATTGGATGAAGTACTTTGACTATTTAATGTTGTCATATTTATTATTGTAATCAATTTGTAGTTAATAATACTAATAATAAATATAACAATGATACAATGATGCTATTTAGTTACAAATGATATTGCAAAATTTTTAATATATAATTAGACCTTAATATCATTCTTAATATTAATGATTTTAGTGAAAAATATTGTAAAAAATATAAATACAGCTTATTATATTTTTATTAAATTTAATATAAATGGTATTTAGTTTAAATTAAAATGTAAAATTCATATATATAACATATATATTTTAAAATATTTAAAAGTATATTATTAAGCATGTAGGTTAACCGATAAAAAATAACTTAAATTTAACTTGTCATTTTAAGTTTAGCTTATAATAAAATTTTTAGATGATTAAACTTTTAGTATTATATGATTAAAACTGTTAAAGATAATATTTTAAAAAAACAACCAATAAAGTAAAAGTATATAATTCATGAAGACACAATTAATTGCTTGTAATTTAATAATTTTTTAATAAATTAGTTACCCGTACATAGCATACACAGTTTTTATATTTTTATTTAAAAAACGATACTTACGATACTTAATACGTACATAAAAAAAAAAATCTAAAATAATAAGTTTTATTTTTACATTTTTAATAAATAATTTTGGAAAACAATTTTATTTTTCAAAGAGGCCATACAGCTATGAAATTGACAAATTTCAACCAACAATCACGTGCTTGAAATGTGCGGCGCAGACACTTGTATTACAGAGAAGGGTGAGGGAACGTGTCTTCAGCATCTGCCACATATTTTCAGACTTTCTATTTGATAATGACTAATGTTCTTTTATAGCAACCACTGTACCCTCTCCTAATTTCCCTATTTTGGTATAGGAACAAGAACAATGAGACTAAACACAGTTCCAATTACTTGTGTAATAGTGTTGGAGGAAGTCCCACATGAAGAAACCTGTTGCTGCTTTTTTCAAGAGCTGAATCTGAATCACATCAATGGATGAGTCATGTTTTTATTCGGTAATGAAGAGATTTGATGATCATCAATCATACACATATTTGAAATGTGTATTTTACATATCTATGTAGCTATAATTTTGATCCTGAAGTTCTAATTGTTCTCCTTTTATGTTTGCAGGATGTAATGAACAACTTTGATTTGTTCAGTGAACATGACATGTTCTCTGATCTTGAACAAGAGTTAAAGCTGGAAAACTCAGTGGGGCCAAAACCCTTTTGGAACAATCATTCTTGTTCAAATCTCAATGAAGAAAGCACCACCCTTTATAGCAACAAGGGCAATTATTCATATTTGGAAGAGATCACAGGCTGTGATAACACAAGTCTCAAACAACATGATTCTCCTCAAAAACCTCTCTTAGCATCCTCCATGTCTTACATTCTATCTTTTGAGGATTCCACTGCAGTGCCAAATATTCCCAAGAAAACTTGCCTATACCATGGTGGTGAAAATTCAAAGGAGATCACAAAAGAAGAGCCATGCAATAGAAAATCCAAAACGGGTAGAGGCCCTTCTCAAACACAAAATCACAAAATGGCTGAGAGAAAGAGGAGAGAAAATCTCACAAAAATGTTCATGGCACTTTCAGCCATTATTCCCGGGTTGAAAAAGGTATCTTCATTTTCCATTTTTTTTTATATATATTAATGATGGATTAATGTTAATGTTTATGGTTAATTTCTTTTTCTTACTTGTATTCAAAGCCAAACTTAAAAATTTATAGTTAATTTCTTTTTTTAGTTTATATTCAAGCTGACTTTTGCCATGCTCCTTAAATTTTTACCAGCTTGAACTTTTACCGACTGCTGTAAGAGTAATCTTAGTTTTGAAATGGTCTTAACATGACTAATTTTTAATATTAACACTAGTGAAGTTCTTCTACGACTAATCCACATATTTATTATGATAAATATTTGTTGAAAATTAATAAATATTTAATAATAATAATAATAATTTTATAATTATACTTTATTTTTATAATATACTAATGCTATTGACTCTAATTTTTTTAACAATATTTATAATCACTTCGAGTTTTAAATTATTTTGTTTCTATTTTTATTTTACAAAATATAAATTAATTTTCCATTGATTTGATTTGTTTACCTTTTTTTATCATTTTATTTTTACTTATAATTTATTTTTCTGATTTTTTTATTAACATAGTAGTATAGTAGTTTTCGAATATTTAATTTATATTTTACACGATATGGAACGTTATTAAAACATTATTTAATTTGTATTACAACGTTATAATATTATTTACACACATGATAAAGTTAACTATTTTACTTATGATTGATTATGGTAACAAATACAGTGCAATTACTTCAGCAAGATTTAGTGATTGATGTTGAACATATTTATATTAAAGATAAATGATTAATTATGTTCTCAATATTTTAATGCTATTTTATTATTTTGAAGTTTTATGATAATATTGTATTTTTTTAAACGTACTACAACAGCTGTTACAGTGTGAGCTACAATGAAATTTTTAAAAGATTTGTATATAATATAAATTTTTGCAATATTAAATATTTATTTTTGGATCAAGTTCATTCGATGTAAGATGTAAGATACACCCATGCACCTGATGTCAGAGAGAGTATGATATAAAGAAACGATTTTGTCTTCAAAGCCAAACTTAAAAAATTATAGAATCTCATTTTGTTACCTTAATAATAAATTATTGAAATATTTCTGATATGCAGATGGATAAGGCTTCTATTCTTAATGATGCAATCGATTATGTGAAATATCTTAAGAAGCGTGTAAAGGATTTGGAAGATCAGAACAAAAACAAGAATAGAAAGATTGAATCCATAGTATGCTTCAAAAGCAGCAAATCCATTAACTCCGAAGATTACTTGTCTTGGACCTTTGATGGCTTAGATAAACCTAGCAAGAAATTTGTCAAAGTTGAAGCAAGAATCTTAGCAAAAGACGTATTCATCAGAGTTATGTGTGAGAAACAAAAGGACACTATACATAAACTACTGGCCAAGCTTGAAGCCCATAATCTCTCCATAGTTTATAGCAATGTTTTGCCGATTGGGAATTCCTTGCTGAACATTACTAGCATTGCTCAGGTACCCACCAACCTTTTAATGTCCAGAAATAAGGTTTCGGTATCTTTAATATATAGGTAAGGTAAATGATGGCCTATATTTTAATTGAAAAATCAAATATAAAAATCCATTGAAAACTATATATCAATATATGTATATTGTAATTTCTAATACATTGTACGTGATTTTTAATAGAAGTTTTTCATGCCCTAAAAACACCGATTTGTTATATATGATGAACATTAAATAATCAATAGATATTTTTCTACGGATAATTATAGTGAGCTAGTTGGTTTCTTTTCAGACTCATATTTATTATGGTACCTATGTGGAATATTATATGCATTAATGTCGTACTATATTGTAGATGGACCATAAGTTCAACATGAAGATGGACGATCTTGTGAAACTTTTGATTGAGGATTTCTCAGAGTGCTGTAACTTGCAACAATAATGAGAGAGGGAAACGTATTGGCTTTTAGTAGTCAAGTGGATGCATGCATTATAAGTCTTGCGAGGGAGAAATGCCTCGTGGTTGGTGGGCACAATAGTTATCTTTTGGTCTTCTTCAGAAAGGATATTCTATTTAAGGGAAAAATAAAATTATTTTGTGTTTTCACTCTTTTATATATATTTATATGTTTCGAATAATTAAAGATATTGGTAGTTTTAATATTCTATGCATGCTTTTTATGGTTAATTACTACCATAGTTAAATTTCTCAATTAAACCTGCTGTTAATTGAACTAACTCCATTTCTAAAATTTATATACATTAAAAATTTATTTCTTAATTAAGATTAAGATACTTATCAATCTCACATATAAAATTATACATAATAAATTTTGAATAATAAAACTTATAATTATACATTTTACAACAAAATTAAATAATTAATTACTTAAACGATACGTGTTAAATAAAAATTGATATGCATTCGGATAGTTTTGTTGATACATATGTAATTTGAATTATTTGAGTAATTAGTTCCATTAACAATAGATTTTAAACCTCTTTTTAACAATTTTATTCGAAATTTGTAAATATAATTTGTAAATAATGTTTGATCTGACAAGTAAAGTACTTTGTTATTCTCTTAAATTATAGGTTGGGAGTCTATATTAGGTGGAAAATATATAATCAGTTTATGACATCCAAGGTGTATAAATCGATATACAGGAAGAATAAAGGGAAATAAAATAAAATAAAATAAAGGGCTGTGAAAAATAATTAAAACTAACATCAAATTCAGATGTCCTTTTTTTTTTTTTTCTACGGTGCATGGCATATGAACAAAATTAATGCACCGAAATTTTAGGGAAAATAAAAGAAATAAAGAAAGACATTAATGATTAAACAGAAGTCGCATAAACAAGACAAGAGAGTTGATGGGTCTTGAATGTTGAAACCCCAACATTGTCTTTAATATTGAAAACGATTTATCGTCCTTATTCTGAGTTTCACAATCATGGAAAGGGTGGGTGACTTTATGATATATAGATATATCCACAATGTAATAGAAATCTAATTTAGAAGAAAAAGTAAGAGATATAATATTAATATAAAATAGTAAATATTTCTAATTTCTATTTCTATTTGTGATTTTTTTCTCCCCTATTTTTTATTAATCATGGGACCAAGCCTATAATTAACCTATTAGAAGAACCTTGTTGTATGGTAATTGAAAATGATAAAGGACAAGCTTGTTACTATTAGATAAAAAAAAGACACCAGAACAGAAATAACTTATATAAGTTAAAAATAATATATTATGTTATTTATTTTTAAAAATGTTAGCACTTTTTTATTTGATGGATTAGTTATTAAGTGCCTTGCAAAGTCATTATTAAAAAAGACAACTACCCTCAAACAAAAAAAAAGCTAAGTCACTAGTGTATATTTGTAGGTGGACAGAATCATCAACCTAGAAAGTGACAAGATTAAAAGGTTATCAAAAAAGTTGTCATAAAACAAGGGGTCGCAAAATATATAAACAAAACCAGCGGTGATAAGCGTTTATATAAGAGTATTCGTAGTTTGGTTAAGTAATAAATCTTGAGATCTGCAAACAGATTAGAATTAGGGAAGATTTTTGTTAGTATGAGATTTTTTTTTGGATAATATCAAAAAATAAAATCATGAAAACTTATGCCTAAAATGAATAATATCATATTAATGTGAAAAGTTTATACTAAAAAGTTTATATTTGTTAGAAAATATAATAAAAAGTTTATACTTGTTACCTGTTCTAACAAGTGATAATAGAGTTCAAATTCTTAGGTAGTGTCACGTGAACGTAAATGTGAATTCACACCGTGTGAACCTAGGTATACAGTGATAATTGCAGATGTACAATAAAGTATTTAAAGTGAACAAAATTATACTAGTATGGAAATATAGTAAAAAAATTTATACTTGTTTTAATAATAAATTATTTGATTGAATCATAAAAATATTATTTTTTAATTTAACTAAAATAATTAAATTAATTTATTTTATATTACCAAACACAGAGATCTATTAATTATTAGGATATGTTATGACTTAAAGCGTAATCACATGCAATTATATTAAATACTTTATATGAGCACATGATTTTACCATAATTGAACGAGATTGACTTTAATAAATGATAACTGTAGTATAAATAAAAAAAATTATTTTATCATCTCTCCCGCACTTTTTCAATTAAGATATATTTTTATAAAATAAAAATTAAAAAATAAAATATCAGATATTAAAACAATGTTAAATTAATTAAAATTTCTAAATATATTAAAATAATAAAGTATTTAAAAAATGTAATTTGAAAACTAAAATCATAAACAAATAAATTTAATAAGAGTTACTATGTTTAATAATTTTTTGAAAATATTAAATTTTGTCAATTAAATCGTTAAATTAGAAGTAGCTTTAAAACATATAAATTTACAAAAATTATACAAATTTAAAATTAATTAACAAGTTATTACATCAATTTAATTTAATATCTAACATATATTTTTAAAATATAAAAAAATTATAAAATTAATTATAAAATTAATTATTTATGACCGTATCTGTCTGAAACTTGATATAATTTTATTTAATAATTAAATTAATAAAATTTAAGATTTATAAATTATTATTACACGGAATAACTTACATTAAAAGTATTTCTAGGGCAAATTTATATTTTTTTTATTTAAGAATACTCTTTAAAATTAAAAAATAACTTTTTATTATTTATTTATTTGATAATGAGTTGTTTTTTTATTTTAATTGTTGATAACATACTTTTTTTTTTTCTATTAAATTCTATAATTTATAAGGAACAACTGTTTATGATGATGGATTTTCAATCACTCTAGGACAGAAAGACTATGATTAGAAAGACAAAAGTTGTTTTTAAGAGGAAAACAATATTTTAAAACACGAAATTCTTACTTGGGGCCAACTAAAACTTAAAAGCAGCACCCAAAAATTATGATTGAATCAGAGTTAGGTTAATTATTTTAAACATGATTTTTAAAATAATATATTCCAAAATATGGTATTTTTTAAAAAATTATGAAAACATAAAGTTCAAAAATTGCTGATATAAGTACAGAGATACAAAAATATAACAACAAAAGCTTATAAAGAAATAATAATAATTTTTTAAAATAGCAAAAAGATAATTTTTTAAGAAAATATTAAAAAATTAAAAAATATTAAAATTTGCTGATGGTAATTTTTTAAAAAATAAAAAATCCTCATGCTTAAAAAAATTAAAAGCCAAAAAATGTCATGAAAATTTTTGAAAAAATAAAAAAATAAAGTATCAAAATATCATAATATTTTGGTAATTTTTTTCATACAGAAAAAGAAAAAGGCTCAGAGCTTAATAGGAGAAAAAAAAAAAAAAAAACCTCAGAGTCGTTTTAACTTTTACCTATGTGGAGTAAACTTTATATAAAATTCTAATTCCACTTACCTAAACTTTTGTCTTTTTTAAAAAAATATAAAGGCCATTTTATGTAATATAGTAAATTACCCTTTACTGTTCTTTGAAATTATTAAATGACAGTGATTTTAGTATTTGAAATAAAAAATAATTATTATAATAAATTTTGAAATAATAAAAAAGATTAACATAATTTATATTTAATAATTCTAAAAATTAAAATAATATTTTTATAGTTTTACAGGTTAAATTAACTGATATTTATAATCTTAAGCATTAATTTGATTTATTACTTTTTTAATGTGTATGTGTGCGTTTGTTTTTTTTTTTTTGGATAATTTTTATCTTGAGTTATATAAATTTATCACTTTTTGCAGTAAATAAAATAAAATTTTAATTTGTGATTTTAATTTTTAACTTAAGAAAATTATCATTATAGTTATTATTTTATAAAATATTAATTATTTTAGTCCTTTTACGACACAAAAGATATTAAAATAAAATTAAATTAAAATGAATAGTATTTTATAAATTTAAAGATTTTATAAATTAAAAATTAATTTAGTGATACTTATAATTTAAGAATTAAAATTAAAGAAGATGTCTAAAAATTTTTAAACTTAATTTTAATATTTTATTTAATTTATATCTGATAGTCAATAAAATAATAAATTATAATTCGTTAAATATAAATTAAATAAAAAATTTAAATTAAATATAAAATCTTTTAAATTAATGTATTTTTCACAACATCAATATGAATAGTTCGAAATGATAGTCCAATCTCATGGAATAATAATGTTAAGTATTGTAAAATTTGTATTTAAAATTACTATACCTATTTATATTTATTTATGTAAATAAAAATATATGAATTAAAAAATTAATTATTTTATTAAGCTATTTTATATTTTTAAATTTACATTTTTATTAATGAGTCTTTTCTTGATTTTAAACTATTCAATTAATATAAAAATTATTTTATTATACTTAAAATTTTAATATAAATAAAAAATAATAACAACAATAAAATAAATAATATAATTTTAAATTTTTGAATAAATATCGAAATTCTGTCTAAATCTCCCGTGACTCAATCAAGATTGTCCCTAGTTTAGCAATGACCTAGGTAGATATGTGAATATATATATATCAGTTGTTTTGGAAATTTGAGTTAGGGTCAGATGATCTCTTGTTACCGTCACTAGTCGTAGTGTATATTTAAATTCATATTAAATAATTATAAATTTATATTTATTTTTTAAAACCATATTTATTTTTCATTAAATACTATTATGTTTAAGTTGGATAAAATTATTTTTTAATTATTCAAATAAAATTACTTTGAATGACCAAAATTTTCTTTCAAATATTTAAATTTATATTTATTTGATACTATTAATTACAATTTTTACATTTAATTTGTATTTATAATTTTTTAAACAGATTTTCAAATTTAATAGGGTCACGTTTCATTAGATCTTGGATATGAAAGGATATAGATTTTAAGTTTAAATATATATTTTTCT